AGCAGCACAGTTTCTTTAGGGGGTTCGTTTATGTGTGAAAATAGTTAGTGTCGCGCTCTTCCCTCGCCCCGTGCTAATTCTGAGAGGAAAGGAGCCTCTGAAAACTGCCCAGAGGCGCTGAGCCTCCCGAGTTCAGCCCCTCCCGCCCCGGGAGCCGGCCCCTCTCCCTCCCCAGAAGCCCCACTCTCCCTTCCCCACTTTTTTTTTTTTTTTAAAGTTGATGACAGAGAACGCCCCAGATTCTGAGCAGGTTGATGTTTATTACCTACACTGTTTAAAATTGAACTTCGTTTCTAACTTAGACTATGCAGCTTGAGTTTCTAGCACCTGGCACGTGTTTTGAAAATTCTATTAAGTTATGGAGGTGTTTTTTCTATTAAAGATCCAACATGACACACGTAGCGAGGGGCGGGCTGATCGGGCAGATCACCTGTTACCCTGCTCTTCATCGAGTAGGACAGTTTGTGCTGCCGAGTTTTCTGACTGCTAAGATGCTAGTGGCCAACTTTTCCCAGATAAGATTTTAGGGGAAAAAAAAAGTTTTAAAACCTATTTTAATATTGCATAGATTTGTCCTGCAAACCCTTTTATTCGACTGTATTTTTGCTGCTGCTGTATGTGTAATGCTAATACTGAAACAGAAAAAAAAAAAAAAAAAAAAGCATGTTTAGTATATTTGTAGTTTTATTTTTTCTTCACTAATTAATAAATCATTTGTTTTAGAATCTAATTACATCATTAACATGAATAATGAAACTCGCGAACATTTCTAAAAAGTTACACAGAGTTCAAGTCCTGCCTGCATATAAAGTGTTGTGTTTTCCTGTTCTTTCCCAGAACTTTAGCTCATACTCTTGTGGCTGTGCACACAGCAGTTCTCTAAACGAGCATCAGTTACAGGAGCCAATGCTTGTATTTCATATATTTCAGATTAGAAAGAGCAGGCTGAGCCAGACATGGAAATCCATTGGAGGGCAGCATGCTTGATGTTTGGGGATTTGTTTTTTTGGCAGAGCTTTCAAAAAATGAATTGTCTCACTTTTAAGAATAGGCTATAATCCATCAGCTTCTTGAAATTCAGATTTTCAGCTGAGAAATTAAATGAGAGCCTTCAAACAGTCCAGCTGAGCAACTGAAGGACTGATCAGTAATCTGATCTTTATTCTTTAGAGTGATAATCTTGAACTACTTCAACACAGCTGTCCATAAAATCCTGAAATAAATCAGAATATCTTGTTCAGAGATTTTGGTAGATCCTTATTTGACTTTTAAACTTATCAAATAAGTTTTGGGCATTAATGTGTGTCAAATTTGCAGTGGTCTTTGAAGTATTTTTGAAGCATTTGTATTTTGAAGTCAGCCAACAGCTTTAATTTCCCTTTCAGAACTATGCCTTATCTACAAAATGTCATAGATCTGTTAAAATTGCCAAATCTAGGATGCTGTGAGCACATGAGTCAGTGTAATCTGTGCAGTCACTCATCATTCACAAATAGTGTGAGAGCATTCAGACAAAGTACGTTTTACTGTAAAAAAAGCAGTTACTCTATGAAGTCAGTATTCTGCAGTGAAATACCAGATTCCCCAAAAGATCTGAGTTGATCTGAAGCATCATAAAGTGCAGATGAATATAGATTACCAAGTATTTACCTTTTTTTTTATATGAGTTGCCCTATTTACAAATACCTCCAAGGGTAAGGCCTGAATGATTTAGTTCCGGGTGTGTCAAACATATCTTGAGATGAAAGAAAAGTATTTCTTTCTTCACCCATCTATCGAGACCTAAAAGCAGAATTCTGTAGAACATCTAGAACACACAGACCCTCCACAGCAGCTTGACTTAAAGCAATCCTTGCAAAAACTGAGTATTCTTGCCAGGAGTTACTACTGCAGGAGATACATAGTAATTGAAGTGCCTTAAAGTAAACCCTCAAATTAGAAAACTTTCTTTATCTTTCAAAATGCATTTGCTATTTTAGGACTCTATACCTGTTCCGTTAAAAATTAGGGCAGGTTGATGACCTGTTGGTTGTGGTTAGACAGGTTTACTTGATCTTAATAATGTTCCGATCTTAATAATGTTCCTGTCATGCTTTATGCAGAACTCTGTTTATGTCAGAGGTATGAGGTCTCCTAAACTCACTTTTTAGGGAAAGCACTGTTCTAGGGAAGGACTGACCCAATGACAACACAATGCAAAAATGCCATGAGCCTGCACCTTGAGAAATACCCTGTCAGTATAAGCATTAGAATATACAGAATCTGTTAGTGCATTCTCTTAAGTGTTAAATAATTTTATCGCTTACTCATTCAAGAACTTAGCTTTATTTACTGTAACATCTATATGTCAGATGCTAACCTTGAGTATGCCTTTTTAACTCTCAGTAAAGTCTTTGAGAAGTATCTATGACTCTAAAAGCTTAATTCAAACAGTATGACAACTATGCAATCTGATCAGAAGGGCAGATACCAGCTTGAGCAGCTTATACCTCAAACACACTTCTTCTGCTGGCAAGGACAGTTGAACGTGTTTGTGGAACTATACTGTAAGAAAAACAAGTATGCTGTTGGTCTGCTTCAATAAACTTTACAAGGACTTCTAATCTCACTTGGCCAGGCAAGACAGAATGCCAACTAAAAAACCTAATGGAGTAATAGAGAAGGTGTCTCCTGCTCTTCCAGAAGCAGACTGTTGCCATTGCCAAGTGGGCAGGACTGGTTTTGGAGCTGTCACCTCTGACACAGCCAGTCCCACATCCCTTTCATTTCCAGACTGTAATCCTGGCTGCCTGTCCAGGGCCAAATTGCTCATACCATTTTAATCAAAATCCTTTACCTGTAAGTAAAAGTATTCTGGAGATGTCTGCTTCCTGTGAAGTCTAGGAAGCTGCACAAGCAAGGAACAAGGAAGCTCTCTAGCATAAATGCCAGATTTGATAATGACTTATTTTGTGGTTTTAGGTAAAAAAGTCTGTTTTCCATGGTTTCCAGGCACTGGACAGGTCTGATGCGTGTCAGATGATGGTGAAAATTTGTACCCACTTAATATGATTTGAGAGCACATGCTCCACCAGATGATATAAAATGAATGGAGCTAATGCTTCTTGATCTCTGGTAGTAAAGCTGTGTTTCATTTTTCAAGAAATATAATAAGGATAATACTGATTTATCAAATAAAAATTAATCTTGTTGGTGCTTACTGAGGCAATTAATTTCAACACAACACAGTTAGGAGAGCTAACTGATGTCAACTAGTTAAGAAAACTAATTAACAGTAACCTAATTGTTCTTTTGTGGCAATGTAACAAATTAAACTGTTTGGTAAATATGTTCCTAGTAAAAACAGGATAGGAAAAAATCCATGAAAATTAAAATATGATTTTAAGTTCAAAGACTAGGCAGTTATTGACATTTTGAAACAAACAAAAAAGTAAATAGATGCTAGAGGTGATCTCATAGCTGAGTTCTACCCATCAGCATTGAAACTCATCATATAAATGATTTCTTCCTGAACTCTCTGAAAAGTCTCTTCCAGATTAATGTATTTCTTTAACCTTTTTTAGATTCATGGTTTTCCTTGCATGACTTTTGGCTTAGTCACAAACACTATCCTCCTGATGACAGAGTCACAGAAAGAAGGCGAGCAATGACTATCTCTTGGAATTATTTTCTGAATTTCTGATGAGGTCATTTTTACTTCTTTCCCACCTGTGCACTTGTCTTTTCCTTGTACTATGTCATTTGACACAAAGATTTGACAGCTAATAGTTCTTGAAATTCTCCTTGAAGTCATCAATTCTCCACCTACATCTATCTTGTATCTTCAATGGCCTCACCAGTGTCTCTTTCTAGATAACCTTTCTTATCGTATAACTTAAAAAAAATTCTTCATCTTTCTCTGTATCATCCCTTTTCCATTAATTCCTGTAGTATCTATATTAATTAATGCCGCAATCTTAGCATATTTTCTAATTCTTTTGTTTCCTTTTGTTCCCTCCTTGCCTGTCTGCAGCACATGCCAATATGCTGCCAGTTTCATTTCTACATTACCTCCAGAATCCGAGTCTTTGAATTCCCATTGTGAAAAGTCCTGTCAAGTCTCAATAAGATGTTGCATTGACTACTATAATCCCATGTAAAAGATTCCCATGGTCATCCTCTTGGATCCTATCCAAATTTCTAACACCATTTATTTCCAATTCCCGACTTCCTTTCAAGCCACACTAAGATTTCGTACCCTGACATTCCAGGCCTTCTAAAGTTTGGAAATTTCCACACCTATTTTCTTTCCCATGCTTTCATTGTTCTAACTCGTAATAGTTTTAACTTACATTTGTATCTCTCTTTCCTTCAGTCACCTCCTCTTCTTTTCATGTTTCTCCTCTTTAAATTCATTCCTAAGAAACAAGTTCGAAGGGCTAAAACCTCTACTTTCACCTTGTAAGATCAGTTCATAGTCATTAAAAAAATCAACAGACAAGGAATGTGTCTGTCCCCATTATTGATGCTATCTCTGTTCAGGTAACAAACAAAATATTTTGTATTGGTTATAAGACAATGTATTTGAACTATATCTCACCCTTAATATATGTTTGTTATTAATTCTATTGATATTTATCATTACAATATTGATCACAGTTACTTTATTTACTCTTCACGTAGATATACAATTTTATACATAGCTACAGGATTTTTGTTATAATTCAGGCCTAATTATCATTAAAGCATTATCCATATATTTCACCTACAACGGAAGAAGGCCATGACATGCTGACACGGATATTCAATATTGTATGGCAATAAGTACACTGTCCCGAACCTTACATCACTCACAAGTTGTAGTACTCTTTATCTTTGTTGTCCTCATAATATACAACTAATGTAGATTATATTGTTCTGCACTATTGTTTAACTATGTAGAATTAAAAAGTGAAAAACCTTGTGAAAAAGATTACAAACTGTAACAGTAAGACATATTTAGAAGAATGTTTCTGTTTTAGTACTAAATTACCATGCTGACAAGTGTTACTACTTTTATGTTTTCAGATCTGTAGATGAAGACAGAAAAATAGAGTACAAAGCTGCTGTCAAAATCCAGAGCTGGTTTCGAGGATGCGAAGTCCGAGCCTATCTGAGGTGAGTACATTAAGCCTATTTTAATCTGTATTTTAATCTGTATTTCAATCTTGATTTTTTCCCCAAGTTTCTCGTGGTACTATTTGATTTTAATAAAATGGGAGCATTTGGAAAAAAAAATAATCTGTTATGCTGCTTTTAAATAGAATGAAATACATGCTATGCCACTGTAAGAAATAGTAATTTTTGATTTTCAGAACTGCATACAAGCAAAATGGCATGATGCTAATAAATAGCATGGAAATAATCCATCTTCAGGATAGATACCCAGTATTGTTTAAGAAATCTTGGCATGACTGGAAAAAAAAAAGATGTCCCTCAAATATGCTGTTTGCAGAGACTTATCTTATCTGTGTTATTGTGGCCACTACAGAAAAATTGCCTAGTGAGTGTGTGGTAACTGGACTTTTATTGTAGAAAATTAAGTTCTACTGCTGGATTTGACCAGATCATTTAAAAAAAAATCTTTCTTTACGTCATTTTCTCAGTTTATCAAACAGTCATCATGTACCATTACTTTGTTCCGTAATTGAAAATTCTATAATTCTGCTGTATTGACATTGATACAGATTTTTTGGAAACACTATGGTTGGTCCCTTCTCCCAGGAGGCCCTCCTCCATTTTTAACGATCATAAGGCCAACTGGCCAACCTCATGTGCTCAAATTTCTCTGTCTTCATAAAAATTAAGGCTGTGAGGGAGAGGGATTGTTACATTTTCTAGGTTGATCTCTTGCCTGTTGCAAGTCATTATCTATCATCCAGACATACTGTATCAAACCTAAATGATTATTAGGTTAAATAACATTAATCATTTAATGGCTAATATTTCCCTCCTGAAAAGATAGGCTACAGCAATAATGTGCACTTGTTAAAAAAAATACTGGTAATTTTTTTTCCCTTGCTGGTTCAAGTGTGTTGTCACGGGATGCAGCCATCACATGCAAGTGTTCAAAAACAAACATAGTATTTCAGCCCTTTAAGGAATATCAGCTATGCCATCATTGTCAAAAGCCCCTACAAATACAGAAGATTTGTTAGTGCCCCTCTGTTTCCAGCACATGAGTAACAACAGCATGCTGCAGAAGAAAGTGAAAATCCAAGTGTCTTTGCCAATCTTTCTGTAGGAAGATGCTCTTCCAAGCACACATTTGTATTTAGTAATGACCAATGTAAGAAGAACAATGTAACTGTAATGAGCATGTAAGAAGAACTAAATCAGCTAAGTGTAGAAGAGGATTTTCTTTGCAACTGTATATAGAACGATCCTGCTCAGTGTCCTCTTTCCAAAGATGGATGTGGTATCTGACTTAGGAGTACATACTTAATATAACCAGTTGTCAGTGTTCTCAATTACCCTCTCATTTAGGTCATTTGAATTACCTGCTGGAAAAGACTGCCTCTACTTTGTGACTCCAGCTGTGCTGCAAGGCTTCTAAATTTGATGTCCATAGTTAGGTGCTATGAACGTTCTCCTATATAGCTTCTTCTAGGCAGTCCCAAAGTAATGATTGCATTATTTTCTGCAAAACTGATGTGAGACATTTATTGGTGTGAGACATCAGTTATGGAATTTTTAGAAGCATAATAATGTATATATAATAAGGATAGAGAAAAGATTTACTTACAATTAAGCTAGGTGTAATTTTCTAACAGCAAAAAAGTAGTCTAAAAATTCCAGATATCTGTGGGTTTTGTCAAATATTTAAAAACTGTAAAGTTATGAGAATGTTGTATGTGACTGAAAAAAAACCTGAACTGGTCAGATATGTTGGTTAAAACCATCCATGAAAATACAATCATCTATTGTGCAAATTACATTTGTAAGGCTATTTCATTAAACTTTTGTAATGATAACTGAAATAGTACACAGGTAAGTTTGCAGTAACCCATTTTTTTCCAAAAGCAAAATATGTGCATATGTATAGATATATGTATATATTTGTTTATAAGTGCGTATGTGTGTGCATATGTATGTATGCATCCATGTACATGTATAAAGTATGTTTGCAGTGGCCATCTGTTTGGAATAAGCATGGATAATACACTATACATTATTTTTAACATTAGGAAAAAATAAACTTATATTGTAAAGTCTCAAAATAGTCATTATTTTGTTAATATATTTCATTTTAGATATCTGAACAAAATGGTGATTTTTATACAGAAGTGGTGGAGAGGTTATCGAAGCAGAAGAAACTTCAGAAAAATGGTGGAGGTAGCAAATTAGTTTTCAAAATTTTGTTTGGTTATTTATAGAATATGTATGAAGTAATTCATTCACTTGTCTTGAAATTAAAAAGCTGAAACTTGATCCTTTATGCACACAGACATGTACTTAACTTTACTATCATGAAAAGCACCATTAATTTCAGTAAGCCTACTCATAACGGCCAAGCTAGGTCAGTGTTTAAATGTTTGTAGCTCTAGAGTACTAGTCCCCAAACCAGCAATGAGATCTGCTCAGGCAGAAGCCTGCTTGCATGATGCTAATCGCAGGATTGGAGCTTTTCAAGATGCCTTTTTTTCTAGCAGAACTTTTAATTCTGAAAATAAAATAAGCCAATGTGCCTACACATTGCTGTTCTATGTTTTAGTGGTTAAAATTTCTTACTTAATGAAGCTTGAAGTATTTCAGGTTTTTCCCTTAAGGCACACAGCAGATCAATATAATTCCCTTGATGGACTTGAAGATAGCAAAAATGTATGACAGCACACAAGCTAAAACCTCTGTTAACAGGTTTAGGAGATTAAGAAGAAACTAATTTGTCTTTAACATAAAACAATTAAGTTTTTAATATGCAGTTTACTTCATTATTTTACCAATCTACGTTAATATTTTACAATAGTTTTAAACTTGTTTGTCATTTATTCTTGATTAATTTTGTTAAATTGATATGTTTCAGTCAAAACAAGCAAGTCAAGAAAAAGGAAAAAAAATGAGCTATAAAAACTCATGTATTACAGGCTAAAGTCCATACCTCCTACTAAACTATGTTTTCAAGTTGCAGGACTTGCATGCCTGAAAGCTTCTCTTTTTTTTCCCCCAAGTCTATCAGTAAACTAGTTAAAGATTTTATCTCTTCCAATTTACCTGGCTTAACTAATAAATTATGAGTCATCCTTTCAGGTTATGATTTTCAATCTATCTTCTAAAACACTGATTTTTGAATACAGGGCGGGTAGCTACATGGCTGGATTGGGTTCTGCTTTAAAAAAAGTGGGACTTCAGTTTGAATGTTGTCCCTGAGTTTAGGGAAGATTTGTTTAATCTAGAAAAGCTTCTGTAGAAGGAGAGAGACAAGACAATGTTAATGTACGTTAAAATTTGTTAATTGAAAGAAAGGTTCCATGCAGCAACTGAGCAAAGGGAAGGAACAAATCAGCTTCCTGTGAAACATTAACACATACTGCCAAAAGAACTCCCTCTACTGCAGGTTTTAAGAGGAGGATAGACAAATGCCTATGGATGGCTTAGATATGCCTCAGGTGATATTTTAGGTGAAGTCATCTCACGACACCCCTCAAGTGCTACATTTTTTCACAGTTAAAACATTCTAGAGTGGTGAATTTCACTTGAGAAAGAAGGTGATTTACATGTTTCTGTGTTTTTCAAGACGAGAATAAGAACCATGTCAGTTTTTGGCATCTGATCATTAGGTCTTTAAGAGCGCTTAAGCAGGACAAAGGTCTGATGGTGGCCATCTTACATATTTTTCAATCCCTCAAAATCGTAAGTAGCTATTTTTTGGCCACTCCATGTTCAAATGCTAGTTTCTTTGTTGATAGTAATCAGTTTCCTATTTTAAACAGAATTATGTCACCTCAGCAACTTATTTTTTATATATAAAGGTTGTAAAAACAGTGATGCCCAGATAAGATACAAAATGAACACATCATCACTGTGTCTACTGTCCATTGCACAGTTCTGAGTGGTGCCCTATAGGTGAGACGGCAAGATAATTCTTCCCAGAGAGCCAGCCTGCAAAGGCATTTGGAATTGGTGCCCAGTGATAGGATGAGAGCAGTGGCCTCAAACTGAAATACAGGAAATTCCACTCAAAGACAAGAAAGAACTTTTTTTACTGTGAGAGTAATCAAATACTGGAATGGGTTGCCGAGAGAGTACAAACTGTTCTTGCAGAGTTTCCATCCTTGGAGATATTCAAAACCCAACTGAATGAGGCCCTGCACAACTTGCTCTGATTGACCCTGCTTTGAGCAATGTTTTGGAGCTCCAGGGGTCCCTGCCAACCTCAATTGTTCTATGTATCTATGAAATTGGACATCTTTTACCTCATTTCTTTATTCCATCTTTCTTCTTTTGCCTTCTCTTCTTAAAACACGGTCTGCTAGTTACATTTTAATAGAGTACTTCAGATTAGCAGAGATTTCCTTTAATAACCAAGCTGAGATAGCTAGCATCATAAAACCCCCCAAGCTTTCCATTCTTGAAATATATTTCTGAAAATAAAAAAAAAAAAAAAAGAAAACTTTAACCAATAAAGTTTGGTTCATATGTAGTTCTTCAAACAGACATAACTGACAAGCCTTTGCCAAATCTGAAGTCTGCTGAATAATGTAGGACAAAAAATTGCACAAGCCCACACTTAATACACATATTCTAAATCAGACCATGAATTCACCCAGTTTCTGGATTCCAGTACTTATCCAATATTAGTCAGGAGTCTAGAGAAACAGAATCTCATCAGCAAGCTTATGAATGGTACAGCAATCAGCACAGAAAACCACCTTTCCCCCTCAAATACTTCATTTTGTGCTTGCCGTCTCTTTGATTGGAGAGGTCGAAATAGGACAGCTTGATTGGAAGCTAACCTGAAAGCCATACAAGTAGCAGATGAAAAGGCACCTTTTTTCTCCCTTTAGACCTCTATGTTCAGTATTGTACATTTTGGGATGGATTTAAATATAAATTTCAAGTTCATTCCCTATATTTACGGTCATACTATCTTTACTCTATTAATGGCTGAATTTGGAATATTTTTTAAAAAACCAAAAATCTTCTTAGTAGGTTAACACAACTTTTAGGTTAAAGGATCAGTTAATGTTTGCATTGAACTCATGCTAATAACTATTGTAATGACTCCTGATTATGAAACACAATGATACATTTGACATGATAGTTCCTTAAATACACTGGTCACTTTAAAATTTGTCCACTGATAATGATTGGATTGGTATCTGCTGCCAGCAAACAAGGCAAAGCATATGCACGAAATACCCATGATTACTTGATAATAAATCATTTTAATGATTATATTCAAAATTGTGAAATGTAAGTGGTACTGATGCGGAAAATAACAAAGGCAGAGGCTCATCAGATTGAGTGTCCATATGTGCACCACTACTAGTATTTAATTTCTTACTCCTCTAGTGCCTCTTCCTTTGATTGTTAAAATACATTAAGTTAAAAAAAAACTATTGATGATGTTTACATTACTGAAGTTATGTGCCTTTCTATATTCTACATACAGGTGCTTTGCTATAAACCTTTGTTTCCCACTATTAATCTCAAGCTAAAATTAAGAACTGCACTCCTATAATTTTAATAACTTAGTTACATTGGTTGTACTGGATTCTAAAAGCCTTGCATAACCTGCAGGAAAGTATGTTTTTTAAAGCCAGGCAAACATGAGAACATGAATCGAACTGTAGATCACTGTTTCTTTTTACAGTATTTCTTAAAGTCAAGAAATCACTTATTAAAGCAAAGGGAATTGTAACATTTCTTTGTTACATGAAGTTGGCATGCATGATAGCCATAGTTTCAGCTCATTTTGGAAGGAGATGCAGTTGAAAAAAGTGAGTATTTTATGCGATGTAGTTCGGCACCACCCTAAATAGTTTAGCTTCAACTCAGTAACTAGTTTTAAATAGTCCCAGTCCAACAGGAATTAGGCAAATGCGTAATTGCTCTTAAAAAAAAAAAAAAAAGCGCCTGTTCCCAGCTTAGACCATATGTTTGTTCCTTCTCTCAATCTAGGCGCAATCAAATTTCTGGTTCTCCTTTGAATTTGTCACTTTGTATTGACTGTTTAAAGAACAAGGAAATACCACTCAGGATCAGATTACATTCGTAGGTGATCTTCAAACAAAGTTTTAAGCAGGAAAGGATCAAGTAGTGCAATAGTTTATACACAAAAGGCTTCAAATATATTTTTGAATCATAGACTTAAAGTAAAGTAGTAGGGAGACCTGTATATTAACAGCAGAGACAGATACAAAGACATCATGGTTCAGAAGTGGAGGTGGTCCATGTGAGTGAGGTGGCAAGACAATTCTTCCCAGAGAGTCAACCTTGCAGTGTCACCTTGGAATTGGCACCCAATGAAAGAATGAGAGGCAATGCAATGTACACAAGCTGAAATGCAGGAAATTCCACTTAGGTATAAGAAAAGAATAGAAAAGAATCTTCTGGACAAGAAGGCCACAGTTCAGGAAAAAAATCTTGTGTTTACTAGGAAAGCACATAAATATGGACTTGGGTTGAAGCACTGAATTATGGCTATGCTTTTGTGAATAGGGATGGACACATTCTCTGTCACTTGTAATAGCAGAACTAGTACATATTATTCTAATTAGGATTAGAAGATAGAGGGCAAATCCATTTCAAAAGAACCTCGATGGTGACATAGGCTTTGGCTTTTGGTACAAGGATAAGGTTGTAAGACAGTTATATGAGCAATTCTGCATTTGGCAGACTTGTGATTTAGAACAACATTGGGCAAAAGCAAGAATGTATAACTTCCTTTTTATCGTGAGTGATCTTGTTAAGTAGTGGTAAGGTAAGGCCTGGATTTCTCACACCTAAGTGAGGTACGCAAGTTAGGACCCTAATTACCGATGACTATTTCTGTAAATAGTAGACAGATGCAATTGCAGAGCTCTTCAATACTTTGCCAAACTCAGAAGGAAAGTGATCCCACTGCCTTTCAGTATTGATGATATAAAGAACATAATGATGCTAGGTCTCCCATTTAGGTTTTTCAGTGAAATGGGATGGATTTTGACTGAAGTGCTCACAGCTTTCAAATATAAGATGAATAAACAAAAAGGTGTGAGATTCTTTAGTTTAATCATTGGTGGACTGAAATCTAATGATTGCTTTTAAGCTTAGGAATTTCAATTAAAAAGGTACTTTATCTATCTGGTGTGCACCAACTCTTACATTCCCTTCCGAAGAAAGAAAAGATGAGCTGCAAAGCAAAATTGTATCAATTTAGTCGATCACTTTTGGAATATACTTTATTCCATTATTTCATTCCAATATTAGCGATCTACAGTTAATATGGCTCAGAAAACATTTATGAAGACAAAAAGGGAGAGTGTCTCCACTATTTATTCTAATTCATACCTTTGGGATGGAGATTCCCTCAAATATATATATGTATACATACATCTGTGTATATGTCTACACATATATGTGAAATTTTTTTCAAATTCAGTGGTCCTGCTTTTTTCTTTCATATAAGAAATAACTTTTCTACTGTTTCCATTATTAGTACATTGGTATGATATTAAAGTGAGCATTTAAAATGCACTTTAATTAAACTGCAGGAATTATGCCTTGCTTAATGTAATGAAGAAAGAGAATTTAAAATGAAGTAGCATCATTGTGTTCATTTGTAAATAACATATTGCAGCCAACTGTTTCTTAATTGCCCAGACTGTTGATAAATAATCCAGTCCTGCTGCTCTCCACAGACAATTTGCTTTGGATCAGACTAGGCAATTCAAATAACACTAATTACAGTGAAACCCTTTTATAGTGAATTCCTGTTTGCCATGGGGGAGAAAATCACTATATCAGGGGAAAGCACTTTTGCCTTTGATTTGTGTCTAAAACATGAGAAACACATAAAAGCTGCATGTTGTGCTAAATAAAGGACATACTCTTGCATTCAAAGTACTTATATTTTACTTTTTATGATACAATTGTGAATTATGTTCATTTTGCATTTGTAATTAGAGGGCGGAACAGATGTGAAAGCTTAGTTTAAAGTGATGTATCCATTAAAATAACCTATGCTGCCAAGTGATTGCTTAGTATAATAGGGGATTTGTTCTCTATGAGATGAATTCTACTTTATTGGAAGGAAACCAGGACTTCAGGAAATGTTTTCTATATCAAGGGATTCACTGTAACATGGTATCATTGTATTTATGATTTTATGATGTTAAAATGAATATTAAATGAAACAAAATTCCCAAGGATTACTCGGGAGGCAGCTAAGTACATAACATTTAGTACAGATGGTTGGAAGGCACAATTTTGCTCCATCACTGCATCCGTATCCTTGAACGATTTCGACTGAAGACAGCATTTCTTTGAATTTTTCATTAAACCAGACGTCTTGAAATATGAATTCCTTTTATGTTTCTGTGAGTTTTGGCTAAAAGAACCCCAGTGAATAAATCATACAATACTACTTGTCACCAGCACTTGTGAATATTTCTGCTTTGTTATTCTACTCTCAGTAGAGCACCATTGATTATCAAACTCAGCGGAGAGCATTTTATGATCATATATCTCCATTAGCTTCTAGTTTGACTACCATAGATTTTTCTGGTTAAGCCTGCATTATGTATTAGGAAGCCTATCTCTTCAATACAAAGTTTGATTTTATTCTCTCTAAGCCTAGAACTCTTATTATGTATTATGTATAAAGATTCTTATCTTTTATATGTAAAAATAGGAGCACTGTCTTTGTGTAACTAAAATATATGCCATCTTTTTTTTCCTTGATTCACAGACAGCATATTTTATTATGAAGATGAATTTCTACAATGAAATGGCTGTCAGGGTAAATATTTCTTCACTTGTTAAACAAATGAAAAGTCAATTGTGCTCCAAATTTGCTTTTAATAAAATGAGCAAACCAGAATAATATACACTTGATTGATATGCTGATGGCAACAGTGGGAAATAGTACATAGTTAAAAATTAAAGTTACACTCAGTAGTCTGGGTTGTATTTGAAAACTGTAGCTGAATTTAAGACATCTGCATGCATCTTGCCCCATTTAAATGTTCATTGTACCTTACCATATAAGATACTGATAAAAGCCCCAAACATTCTATCTACAAGTATTCTTACAAATGTAGACATATATTTACAATTCTGACAAACTATAGGGCTTTTACGTTTGTTGATGTGGCTGTGCTTTTTCTTTTGTTAGTACATGACATTTGGCGTATTCAATCTCAAAAGTGTTACTCAGAGAGCACAGGACAATTTCATTGCCTAAACGTAGAGGTGGAACTGCACTGATCTCATTGATGATATTATGAGTGAATATTGCCAGATGAAGAAAAGTATAAACAATCCTTGAACTTTAATAAATATACAGCAAATTAAGTTTGTTATGGGGAAAATGGCAAAATATATTTAATTAGAAATTGGTGGTTTTTTCCTGAAGTTTGGAACTGCACTTAAACAAATATGTAAAACAAAGACAGGATGGACATGAGATAATTCTCGGTATGAGGGACTTTTGGAGAGGGCTTTTTAGAGGAGGACTTCTTACAAGGGCATATAGTCATAGGACAAGGAGTAATGGCTTTAAACTGGAAGAGGGAAGATTTAGACTAGATATAAGGAAGAAATTCTTCACTATGAGGGTGGTGAAGCACTGGAACAGATTGTACACAAAAGTTGTGGATGCCTGATCCCTGGAAGTGTTCAAGATCAGGTTGGATGGTGCTTTGAGCAACCTGGTCTAGTGGAAGGCGTCCCTGCCCACGGCAGGAGGGTTGGAACTAGATGATCTTTAAGGTCCATTCCAACCCAAACCATTCTGTGATTCTATGAAATCTTTTTATCTTACTTAATTATTTTATTTTGTTGAATGAATCTGCTTTACTTTCGAGGCTGATGTCATTTTAGGCAAGGCATCTTACCTTTGGAATTGTACCGAATGTGGGAATGTGGTGGGGATGGAGATTAACCAAAGGAAACTCCTGTAAAGTAGGAAGATTCTTAGAATGGATTTTAATTTATTTTGTGGCCTTTCTGGTTCTAGAATCACTCAGACTCAAGAGGTGTGTTCCCATCAGGTTTTTGGCTTACTGCTGGTTGCCTCAAAGGAACAAAATAGAATCTTACATTTGGACCATGTTAAAGAGCGGAAGGTGTTTAACAGCAGTCTAACTCCTCAGAAATACACTTTCTTGTTGTTTTAGTTTATTCCGTAGTTAGCTAGTTTGAAAGTATTCCACAGTGGATAAATGCTGTATACTCATGCAGCTGAAATCAGTGAGAAAACGCAAGATGCAAGTCAGCTTTTACAAGTTGGCTGTGTACTTTTAGAAGGCGTTTGAAGACCAAATTTCAGAGGTAATTATGTATTCTAGTCAAATAGAGTTTTGCATTTGGTCTTTCATTTTTAAAAGAAATTGAATGTGTCCCCATTCATTTGTAATGGAAATATAATGTTGAATCATTAGGTGATATAAATCTTCAAAGTACCATTTTTTCAGTCATGTCCTTTTCTTTAATGGAAATTTAAATCAGTTGAAAACAATAGAACAGATCTTTATTTAGTTGCAAATGTCAGAATCCGATTCTCCTCTATCTAAATCTTGTGCAGCCATATCTGCAAAGCAGATTTAAAATGCTACCATTCTGAAACACTGAATGTTTTTATTTCGCTGTCATCTGTTTTTTGAAGAAGTAACCAAGGTCCAGGATAATAGAGAATAAGGCCTGTTGAGTTTCTGCACAGAAGATGTGTGGCCAGACTTTAAGTTTCCTAAGCCAACAGCGCCTCATGTTCACACATTGTGAGCTTGGTTCATGAATAATATACTTCAGTGTTCTGAAAATATAACTTTGTATGTTTTTCTGTTTAACCACTTAGTTTTGCCTCATAGTATTATTAAAATATTTATTTCAGTTTATAGTCACTGATTAGAAAGGCACTTTTGATTTTGGCAATTGAAGTATTGAGGGCATACACATGCTCAGAGTTTCGAAGTCAGTCTACATCTCTGTCTCACTGGATTGTACTTAGTTGTAACCTGAACTATCATTTTCACCTTTTTAAATTGAATCAGAGAACTTGTTTTAATCAATTTCAGTTTTGATTACTAGGTCAGAATATGATTCTCTCCCTTAAAATATTTAAGGTTGCTATATATTTTCAGCAACGGAAGTAATCCTATGGAAAAAAATATTTCCATGAGCAGATGGCTTTTGATATATCAAGGTTTTGCCATTTGTTTTAGTGCTTAAAATAAACATTATTTATAAGACCACTTACATTTTGATGTTACTTAATGAGGAATATGCATCATTGATTTGACTAGCTTAAGAGGTCATTTAGAACTTGCCCGTTAACAAGCTGTAATCTGCTGAGCACACAATGACTTTGTTTAAAATTATCTGTTCAGTGCTGATCAATGACAATAATTGTTTTGTACCAATCACTGTTGAAACTTGCTAATTACTTTGAAGGGCATATACACTTGTCTCTTTTTTTCCAGAATTTTTTAAACATTCACCTTGGAATTAAAAAGAAATATAGTCATATGACATCATACTTCCATATAAAAGCAAACATTTAGAACTTTCACATTGAAAATATGAACATCATCAGAAGCTTTGTGTACAATGTTCTTTTCCAAAAAGATTAGTCTTCAGTTTTGTGATCTCTGACATACACTATTAGGGAAACAGAAATCTAGCATATAATAATTCGAGACATAATGCAGTTTTTCTTACTTAGGTTTCCGTCAGTTGAAATCAGTGAGGTCATTCTGAACAGAAAGTGATGTAAATAAAGGTAGAATGCGTCAGTGAATTGGTACACTGAGCCCATTGGAGATAATTATAGTTTTATACAATTTGAGTCTTTTGTCTTTCAGTTTGAGTTTTGATCCTTTAACCCAGAAATTTCCAGTTCTGCATTTATAACTGTGAGGTGAAGACTGTCAGAAGGAGTTTCAAAGGGACCATAATCCTGCATTAATGAGCACACAGCTATACGGGAGCCAAGTTGCTCTTGTTGAGAAATTTTGAGGCCAAACAGAAAAACAAAGTTAAGATCCTTATTCACATGCAAAGGATTTTGTTTAATCCCAGATCTCTGAAGGCATACTCATTCTTTGCTCTTTCTCTATGCCTTTTTAACCCGATAAGCTTTTGTATGAGAAAGTGGGGTTGCAAAGAGTATGAAATTTACTGTCACCTAGTGCAAAGAAGCATGTCTAGTGCTTCACCTTTCTTGTTCTCATGCTCAGATGCTCACATAACTATTATTTATTCATTTTATAACAAGGTCTAGAGGTCCAAACACTTTTTATTCAAAAAAACCCAAACAACCAATCACACATAGGTAAAAGAAGATACCATCTTTTTAAATTAGTTTTGAGTCTTATATGAGAAGAGAGGAAAATACATGGTGATGAAAAAAAGAGAAATAGAGGAGTGTACTAACACTAAAACTTAATAACCTCTTAGTCCTAATAGCTTTAGTGCATCATTTTATTTTCTTGGTGACACATCACTCCAAGACTTATTGAAAGTTTCCGTGTGATACTTACTCTCTTACTAAATCTCACATAAAGAGATAATCACAACTATACCACAAAGGGCCATCAGTTGAGACTGAATGCCAGTTTTTACTTTAAAGAATAGTGTTTTGGCCTTTGTGATTGCAAAATGATACCAAAGACAAAGTATGAAAATATGCAACCCTGCCTTAGTTACTCGTCTTATAGGTGGCTCCAGTCTGTTACTGTTTTCAGCTCAGAAAACACCAGGAGAGGGAAAAATTGCAATAACTTTTGTCAGTTATCACAATGGTACAAAATTAGACTGCAATGGAACTGGAAGGAGTAAAGAGATTTTTGCGTATTAGTGAAAAGCACTCCCAAGACTTGATGATACAGACTCTGAAGTCACTGGGTGCAAAGGCTGATTGATAGCATGGGCAACAGGAAGGTTTTTTTCCTTGCCTTCTTCCTGGATCTAACACAACAGAACATGATGCTGTTTTTTCCTTTTTTTTTTTACATGCTTCGTTGGAATAAGAGATAGGTTAAGAAAAAAAACACCACCACAAACACATGGATTGCGCTCCACTTACCAAGTCATGCCTTGGTTCTGGAAAGAGAAGGGTTGGTGTAACGGAAAAAAAAAGAAAAACATTCCCTGCAGATACACTGAAGAGTTTAAATTCTTGAAAAGTCTAGTAGCCAGAAGTCCACAGGATAAGGAGAGCTCTTGTCAAATTACAGTATTCTTCTCTTTAATGCACTTAGTGAACGGGAGTAGGTTCCCACCTTGGAGTTGCTTCTGGATTGTAAGACCTCAATCTTCTGGCTTTTTTAATGTGGATTCTGCGTTTCAGCTGTTATGTCTCTTAAGTTTTCAAAGCTGTAAAGGTCAGAGAGATGGAAGTTGGAGCGGGAGTGAAGGTAATGCAGACTAGAAGATAGAAATTGGGAGAGTAATTTAGAAATATATTGAGTTAAAAAAAGGAGACAAAATGCAGGGAAGGAAGTAAAGAACATTTTGCAGGAAGATAAGTTCAAGAATGGAAGAATGTAAAGAAAGAGGAAATAGACACTGAGAACAGAGGAAAAGATCGTTAATCTGTTTTTCAGATGTATTGATCTAGAATACACTGACCTCTTTACGGGAAAGAAAATGAGGAGTGGGAGCAGCCCTAAACACGACTGAATAGAGCGCGTTACGTCTTCCAACTGTACATGTCATGGCATAGGGATAAATATGGCTAACTAAATGGCAGTACTGAAAATTTTTCACCTAATTAATACTTGCTTTCCCTTTCCACAAAACAGATAGCCAGTAAACCTGTAATCATTTCGGAAATGTCATGATTAGAATTTTTAAGTATCAGAGAAGATTTAAAGTGTTCTGTTGAAATAAATTTTGGGGGAAAGTCAGGCTAGACTAAATTGGTTTTTTTTCCTCTCTTCTTCTTTTTTTTTTTTAAACTGATGCTTCTTACAATGTACCAAGATATGAATCCTTTCTGGTGGAGGATGCTACCTAATTTCTATCCTTGATACAACTTTAGGACTAGCTACAGATAAAGAGATTTCCTTTTCCAGTTTAAACTTTATCTGTTATGCAGGAGGAATAGTATTTTCTGAGAAGATTAAAATTAAATTCCAACAAATGGACATGCATCATCTTACATTGGAGATGAAAGAACTGCAATTTATAAATGATGTTTCCAGAAAGCCTGATTCATTGAGTTACTGGGAAGGCTTCTATTCAGTTTAGATTATATCCAGAGCACAAAGGTGAGAGTGTAGCAGAAGATATTCATGAGGTGGTGACTCGGTAGGGAATGCATGTTGTACCTGAGAAAAAGCACCACTTATGTTGTTTGTTTTTTTCCCATTCTTACATAGAGCAATGCCACTGGCGGTAGCTGACCCTTCTTTTCGTTATCACACCCCAATATAAACAGTGGTTTAAAACTTAATTTTTTTTTTTAATGTTGGTGTTTAATTGTAAATTCATATCACCATTTAACTACAATATGTTATGTCCTACCCTCATTTTCTTCACTGAAACATATTCGCGCTTTTACTTGGTATCACTTTTATGGAAACCAGATGACTTGGGAAATACAACAGATATTTGATATGCATACAAACTTTCGATTTGAAATACACTAAGCAAATATTTATTTCCTCTAGATTCAGAAAAGATGGAGAGGCTATTATGTTCGGAAATATATCCATAATTATTATGCACTGAAGAAATACCTGGAAGCCATTTCTGTGAATAACGAGATTGTCAGGTAAAGATAAAAATCCCATGTGTTAAAGCATTCATTTCCTCTTCTCTTATTTGTAAAAAGTTTATGGCATTAATTAAACTGTTTATTTGAGTGTAAGTTCCCCTCCATTCTCAAATATATATATATCTCAGTCATCATTCTCTTTATCCTAAGCCTGTGCATGTTGCACCACATTCTGTTCTCATTTACACTGTTATGAATTCAGAATACTTTCTTTGAGTTAATTAGATGTACTCTGAGTTTATACAAGTTTAATAAAACTAAATTTTGCTCTTCACCTATGCTCAGAACTCATAGATTATTGTGCCCTAAATACAGTTTGTTGAACTAGATTACTTTTTTCCTAGTATACACAAGCTAAAAAAAAATTTTCATAATTTGTTTTCAAAATTGATTATTGACAATGAATGAAAGTGCAGATTTGGATCTAAGTTACATGCATGAACCATACTATGAATATTAATTGTGAAAGATACTGGTGTGGATATAGTGAAGCAGATTCTTTTCATAGTTACAGAAGAGATTCATTTGCCTATTAATTTTCTGGCTGGAACTGTTGTTGCTGTATGTTCCTACTGTAATTCTCCTATGTGCCCTTTGTCTTTCTCTGTACTTAAGTTGAAAGCTCTCTAAAATAGGGGCAATTATTTCCCTCTAGCACATGTGATGTCCTGATCCATGACTTTTTTTTCAGATAACAGTGGAAATAAACAGACAAAATACTGGGTGACCATGATCATTACTTTCTCATTGTGAGTGAAAGGTGTTGGACAAAATCCATCCAGTTTTTGCAGTTCAGAAAGCCTGAGACAAATCTTTGCTTTCTGAAGCATAGAAATATAAGCGAGTTTAGTGATTAAGTATTTCTGGAAGTCTTATCTACATTGCATGGCAAAGACAATTCAGCCAGAAGACTGTTACAGAAAACAGCATATGCAAATTATCTATGAAAAAAAGAATTATCCAACTTCTTTGGATGCTGCTTATTAATTTATATTATTTTTCCACAGTTATAGCTGATGCTACATCCTCTTTGTCATAGCATTATAACTTGTGCATTACATTGTTACACATAATGAAGCATGTTGATAACCACCTACCTCTGCTCTCTCTTTACTATTCATTTGAACATATTCTATGTAGAAAGTTAGATCATAACTCAGCAAAACCAGACTTAAAAATTCTGTCATCTCTTCAGCTGTACCTTTTTACTCCAAAATCCTTGAAATATGTTCTATTCTTGAAAAGGTAGAATCCTAGGAAGACTAGACCAAATCTTGGAAAGTAAATGAAGCCATAACTTTCTGGTTTAAAATGAGTATAACTGGATGAACTGCAGAGACACAACCTGCTTCTTTGTTCATAATAGTTCTATCACTCTTCTCCATTCTCTGCTTAAACCTGGAACAAGGCTCACAACTTGTCGGTTAGATTGACCTTTGATGTGTGTGAACAAAACAAGATAGCAAGTGCTATTCCTCACAGATTGATTGGAACTTTGTATTTTGTATTTTATTTCCCCCACATTTTATATACACCCACAATAGCTGTCTGCTGGGTACATCTAACTTTGGAGGATGACAAAATATTTGTCTTTCAGTGCTTTGACATGTTCATCAAATTCCCTAGTATTTGTTCCAGGTCATTAAAAACCATAAAGCCTACGCATTGGGTAGGTATTTTAATCAAGAAATACTTTTGTTCTGTTTTTCTTTAACAGGTAAGGTGAGCAGTATGGCTTCAGGTACATCAAAATATGTCACAGTTGGTCTGTGTGAGCTCTTGCCTGGCAACTAATATATTGATATTCTACTAATTCAAATTCTGTCTTCTGGAGTTCACAGAAATATATGTCTTTCAGGTTAAAAAAGTCCATCTTTTGCGTTAAAAAAAGTTAAAATGAATTTTTGAGTGGATTTGGTCAAATGGATTTTATCATTTCAGTTTTAAAAATGCATCAGTTCTCAAGTGCAATCAAGAATCACTGCAGAAATCTCTTTACTGAGGTACATTTGAAAACTAATATGTATATTATCTTCAACATTCTTCTTATGAAATCTAACAGATGTTTAGTGAAGATCAGGTGTAGGCCCTCAGCCAAACAGATTTTTCCTGTCATTGGACTAAGTTGCTGCCAACTACTTTGGTCCCAAGGTGGCCCACTATGTTTCGTACGAGGAATACTGAACAAGCTGGAGGAGAGATTCTCTGCATATTTCCATTAGCCGTCACATCAAATATGGAAGAGTATAACCTCATTGTTCATAAACGTTTTTGTGTATATAAAATTATTGCAATTGTTCATTGTAAAAAACAGTAAGAATTGTCTGAAATTGAAGGAATGCTGGGCTTTATTCCAGCATCAGCATTACGGAAATTTACATGTTGGTGGGCAGAGCAATTAATATACTTGTGTACTCAGATTAGGCTAGCTTGGAGTGTCTCACATCTCCAGAACACCACAAAAAAACATAACATGATACATGAAGAAATGCATTTTTTCTTATTTGTCTTATAGCTATATTTGTTAGAATATATGTATTAGTGCAGTGTCAGTGCTAGTAAAGAACCAAGTTTCTCAACAAATAGCAATAGAACCACAGTAAAACAGAGACTAGTTTTAAGAACTCCAGACTGGTAAACCTACCCCCACCCCAGCAAAGAAAAAAAAAAATGAAAAAGAAAAAGAAAAAAACAACAAAAAACTAACAACATACATACTAGAAGTTTATAATTTCAAAAGTTTGCTTAAATTGTATTATTTCTGGAATTACAATGTAATTTTAAACTGAACTACTATGTATGGTTCTCAGTCTTACCTTCTAGAATAATGCTGACAGAATTTTTGTTTATCAACAACTGCCTGAAATCACATTGCAAGTCCTTCTGAGATACATTTTTACCTCTTGGTTTCCAGAACCAAGGATTGTGCTTAATTTTCTCATCTTTCGTTAAGGAGGAGCCTGTATCAAATTGCCACTCACATGTTTCTAAGAGAAACTTCAGAGGAAGTTGCCATGAAACTTTCGACATTCTGTTAGTTTCTTATAAAAGTATCTTATAAGAGTTATTGAACAAAGTTTGTTTCCTTCTCTCTCCTCCTGCACCCTATTTTTTTTAAAATACAAGACGTTTGCCTTACTAAAGGGGGTTTCTCAACTAGTAGCCACATCTTTACCATTCAGCTTTAATACAAGCCGTCCTTATTTAATAGCTGCCCTCATTTAGTAGCCAGACCTTTATAATTTGTCTTTACTGTGAAAACCCCAGGAGAAAGTAAACTTAATAGAAGCTGCCCCAGTTTAAAGCCATAGAGAGATGTAATTAAGTTTACCAGAAATTGATTTAACAGAAATTGACCTAAAATATAATTAAATAATAATAGTCATATTATGTGTGAGTTTCCACTCACTTAACAAACTGCTTATCCTAACTTAAGGCACTGTTTTTGTATGAATTGGAAATAATTGTCTGCTTTAGCTCCCAGACTGGCTAAAGAGTGTGTGGGTTTTCCTCCAGCATTCCCATTACTTCCTGCTGCTACTGAACCTTTAGGTGTGATGGCTGCTGCTGTCCCCAGTAAAGTCCCTAGTAGTTAAGTTGAGAAGTGATTCAAAGAATCGCTTGACAGATGGCAACAGAATGAATTTGAACCCTGCACTCTGTCTACATAAAGACATACTCAGATTTTTCTTGACATTTACACAGTTTAGCCTCAGTGTAATGGTGAAATGGGTTCATTACTCCTGAATTCTGTTTTTCCTGCAATATTTAGGAAGTTCTAAACCTAAAGTAGGAAAGTTCTAAAGCAGGAAAGTTCTAAAGTAGCAAGCCTGTTCTTAAATATTTATTTTACAAAATTTTACTATTTAGATTTTAGTAATGATCTTTATCTACAGTATCCATTTGTATTTAAATAAATACCAATGCATACTGTATTCTATCTGAATATGGATTAGGTGGGCAGTTGCATGTCTAAACACATGCATTAAAATAAATTCCATTCCTTCTCAGTGAAGTTAGTGTATTTAGTTCTAAGGCAAAACACCTTGTTTTGAAACATTCTTAAAGCTGCATTTAACATCTCGTAGAGCTGGCAAAATGATTACAAGGGGAAATATGCCAAAAACAATTAGCATAGGCTATAACTCCATATGATGCATTAGAATTTTGTTTTATGTGAAACAGTTTCAAATCTGTGATAAGCAAATGGACATCACTTCACATAAATTAGCATGCTGGTGCCATTATATCAGAAGAATTTATGGAAGATGTCACTTGCCCAACAGTGTGATTAACTTGCAGTTCTTTGACTAAGGTTATCTGTGCACTGGCCTTTAAACTACAGTAAAGCAACTTTGCTACATGTCAGGTGTGCAACTAGAGATAAGATTTTGGGATGTAGTGTTCCATTTACTGATGAATGGCACCATTTAAATTTTTCCCTAGGCACAGAACTCAGTAAGATAGCAGTATGAGAAAACTAAAAAAAAGTGGCAATGTACTGGCATTAGGATTCTTGTGTAATCAAGACAGGTAGTTTAGCTTTCTTGGCTATTGAGTAAACACTGGCTTAAAGGTAGCAAATTAAGACCAGAGTCCAGCTTTAGCAAGCATCATAGTGTATGTAAACAGTGTTATGATTATAAACTGTGAATTTCACACACTTAGAGGATTGGCACCAAATTCTCCTTTCCATTGTTGTTGGCTTTAGTAGTGAAAAATCTTTGAGAGTGACCCTGAAGTGTGTGACTTTCATGCAAGTTTGACTAGCTGTTCTATCAGTGGATTTAGTATCACTGTCATCATTAAAGCTTTTTGGTCTTCAAGAAATGTCGGGGAAACAGATAATGCAAAGTGATAAAAAAATCACTTCCTTGGCAATATGTATATTCACAAATCCTTTGTGCAGTGAAATACAGTACTGTTACATGTTGCTGGTGATCTGATTCAATATTTATCTTTTCTGCAAATATGCCTGAGCATGTAGTACTGAAAAA